AACTATTTAAATCTCTCCCAAGCCTCGTAGATTCTCTCCCTCAATGTGTGAAAGATGTGATGTCATTTCTATGTTTGACAGCCTTAGAAGGAGGAAAATACTTGGTTAGGAATTTCTGAGCAAAGTCGTTCCAAGAAATAATGGATCATTGGGCTAAAGAGTTTAACCACACATTGGCTCTATCCCTCAGGGAGAAGGGAAAAAACCTTAGTCTAATGGTGTTGCTGGGGACACCATTGTACCTGAATGTGGTGCACAGTTCTAGGAAGTTTGCTAAGTGCTGATTTGGGATTGTCGTGCCCCCACAAACTGGTTTTGCTGAACCATTTGGATAATGACAAGCCTTAATTTAAAGGTATTGATTTCTACCACAGGGTGATTGATACTCGTGTGAATCTTCTCAGCAGTGAGGTTGGCAAAGTTCCTAACAGGTCTCATGGTTGGGTCCAGATGGCAAGCCATTTCTACAGGTGTTTCAGGTTTAGTGAGTGCTTTCCTACGATGTTTAAAGGTACGCTCTATTTCAGAGTCGATAGGTGCTAAGTTAGTGAGTGCACCCCTACACATACACTAGAGGACAGGTGAATGTGAAACTCACACACAAGTGATCCTAAGAACCTAAACACACAAAAAGACAACCACAACAATTGACTCCAAGCAGCACATACAAGAATTGGTTCAACACTTTCATACACAACTTGCAATGACTCAAACAGAAGAAAATAAATGAAATAACAATTAACAACAAAATTTTTTGGCTCTTTCAGCTTTTCAATATTTTATTCAGTCTTTTATTTTTATCACCTGCAAGAAAAACAAAATACAATATAAGCGCACAAACAATTAAAAAAAAAGACGGGAAACAAAAAAAATTTGCAGAAAAAGAAACAGAGATTGCCAAACCTAGATTTATAGTTGTTGAACTACATTTCTCATAATTTTTGAACGTTTCTTAACATAGCTCCCCCAATAATGATGCAAAAAACTTGATGACCACAAAATCACCGTGAAGCGAGCAACTATTTCACACAAGTATACATGCCAAAGTAATAAACAATTTGCTAGAGTTCCACTATTGGTTCCATAAGAAAGTGCCTTGAGAAACAAATTTGAAAAGGCGATGCTACAGTTTACTAACTATTCCAACCTAGTTCGGCGTGATTTAGAAAACTGAAAAGAGAAATCCTAAATCTACTAGAGTTTGTGGAAAACAAAAGTAGAGAAAAATACGGGTTAAAGTACTTTGGTGTTTCTTCAAGATTGTTGATGATCGTGCTTCTATGATTTAGGTGTGACATCTGACTTTAGTTTTTGTGCATTTTCTCCTCTGTGGTTGCTGTCAACTAGAGATGATATTTTCTTCTCAAGCCTATGTCTAGGTCAAAAGAAGAATTGAAATTCCACAAAGATGACTTTTGCTTATCTTTATGGCGTCCCCAAAAATTTTTACATCCCCGTTACCAGTTGCAAGGTCGAACATAAAACATTCATATTTTAATCGGATCTTGTTGTTAACTTAATCATTCCACTAAATTTCTACTGAAATTGTAGATCACGATTGATTTTAATGCTCTAATTGGCAAGATTAGGAGTAAAAGAAAGAAGGTTAACCAACAACATTAAACAATCAAAAGCGCAAAAAAACGTATTATGATAAATTGAAAACGAAAATCAAGCTAAAAAAAACCATCTACAAATCACAAAGATAGAAAAATTAATTTAATTGTTCATATTTTGAGAGAAAAACAAAGAAAATCTCATGGAAATCAAACCTACAAGAAATATCTTTATCAAATAAAAATAAAGTTACAACATTTTGTCAATCCTCTCTTACAAAAGCAACAGAAATCAATTCTCTCAAACACCTCTCACAGAAAATAGACCAAAACAAGAGAAGAGAAGAACTCTCTCAAACCGTAGCCTCCACCTGGATTTCTCTGAAAAAAAATCCCTTAATTCTTTTTTAATATCCTTTTTAGAGCCTGTGTTTGAATTCCTTCCAAAAATTGTCATAATCCCGCACATAAAAACTTTCAAATTGAAGCAGATGCGGCGATGTGACTATGCCTAAACTCTAAAGGCGTGGACTGTGATAGAGAGGGCGTGACCACGCCAGAATGATGGTGTGGCTATGCCAAGAGGTTGGAGCATCACACGATTCTGCGGACACAGCGTGACTATGCTTGCAATCTGGCGCCGCACAGGTGGCGCGGGTACGTCAGAACTTGGCATGGTTACGCTGGGCTGATATATTTCAAATGTCTCTGCTTTGCTCCTATTTATGTGTCAATCCTCTTCTAACTTGCAAAATACAATTCCAACATTCCAAAAACGTAAAATCATGAAATTAAAGGAAGAAATTACTAGAAACAAAACATAGATAATGCGAAAATTGATGCGTATCACCGACATGTGGTTTGTAGATGCCATAGTGCCGTGGACGCAGTATTGTAGTTACTACAATACCGTGGGCTAACCCTTCTCTCCCTCTCCCTCTCCTTTTCTATTTCATCCCCTTTTTTATTTCTATCCGATTTCAATTTGTTCCTATTATATTGCTTGCCTTTTCTATTCCATTTCCTATTTCTATTTCTTTCCAATTCCAATTCCTCCCTATTCATTGCTTTCCTTTTCTACCACTTTCCACTTCTATCTCAATTTCAAATTCCTTCCTAATTCTTTGTGCTAGGATCCTTTATATTATGATTTGTTTGCCTAGGGTGTGGAGGTTTTTGATGATTGTTGATTTCATATTCTGCTTTTGAGACGTTCTTCCCCTCCAAGGGCTGTACCTAACGAAGAGAAGATGTTTCGGTTGTAACTCATCCGAAGTGGTGACAGTCTCCAAGAGTTTGGGTGGTGTTATGGCTATGGTTCGACCCCAGCAAGATATTGATTCTTCTGCAATCGCCTCCGGCCCTGTTTCCAGCAGACACAAACCAACTTTGTGCTCAAGCACAAAATAGGGAGCCAAAATAAGGTAGCTAATGCCTCAAGCCGCTGCCCCTTGTTGATCACCACTATGCAGTTGAAGGTTATTGGCTTTGAAGTGTTGAAAATTTTATTTGCCACAGATGAGGAGATTTGGGTTGTTATTAGAATACTTCTTATGAGCAGATGTTTACTTGTTTTACTTGAACAGACTGTGCTTTTCTAGGAGTTCGCATTAGAAAGAGAATTTTTCAGAAGTGTTACAACGGAGAGATGACCAAACAATTTGGTAGCGAAAAGCCTATTTTTTAGTGAAAAAAACTTTTGGCCTAAATTGGTACGAGATTTTGAGACATATTCACCAGTGCAAAATTTGTCACTTTGTCAGGATTCGAGAACAGAATACGGCTATATCAGTCACCATGGATCAATCTGAGCATATAGTTGGTTGTGGGCCTTCCTTGGACTCAATGGAGTAAGGATTCTGTTATGGTAGTAGATCGTTTTTCCAATAGGACATGTTTCGTGCATTGTCATAAAATGATGAATGCTTCACATATTGCATATTTATATTTGAAGGAGATAGCCCGTCTTCACTGCATACACCATACCATCACTTTCAATAGGAATGTGAAATTTTTGAGTCGTTTTTTCAATGATCTTATGAGGTAACTAGAGTACCAAATTACAGACCAGTTCAACATTGCATCCCCAAACAGTTGGGCAGAAGAAAGTGATAAATCGGAGTTTAGGGAACCTCCTTAGGTGCTTTGAAGGCAAGAACATTAGGCAGTGAGACTTGATTATTCCTTAGGTTGAGTTTGTTTACAACCGATCTTAGTAAGTCGATAGATCACAACCCATTCGAGATTATATACGAGCAAAATCTTTTCACATCACCAGATTTAGTGCCAATACTTCGGACTTCTGAGCTTAATATTGATGCAGAGGCTAGAGTAAGGGAAATTTAAACCCTACATGAGCAGATGAGGAGTGAAACTGCCAAACAGAATATCAAGTATAAAAAATGGGCTAATAAGTCTTGAAAGGTTATGGATTTTAAGGAATGTGACTTAGTGTTGATTTGGATAATGAAGGAGAAGTTTTTGTAGGGTCTTTTAGAAAACTAAAGCCTAAAGTCGGCGATTGATTTATGATTGTTAAGAAGATTAATGATAATGCATACATGATTAATTTGTACAGAGACTATAATATCTTTGCTAATTTTAATGTTATTGATCTGTTGCCATATTATGAGGACCTTGGAGATTCTAGTGTAGAAGATTATCCCTCTGGTACCCGAGGAGAATGATATGGACTTCCCTTTCGCGCCCGTTCCAGCTTCTGCTTCTGATCCCTCTCCTAGGCGATCTTGAGACATGTGAATGGGTCCAAGAGGGATCGCCTCAAGCTATTCTAGGCCCCATGGGCTGGCATGGCCCCCAAAAGATCCTATTTATCTTATTTAGATTATTATTAGGGTTAATTTTACTTGGAGACATAAATATGTTGTTAATTCCTGGTTTTTGATAATTTTTTTTCTTGTTCTTTCTTGCTGGATTGTTGTATCATTAGATCATTCTTAGAGACGGTATTTGTTGCCTAATAGGATCGAGATAATGATTTCTCTCGAACATTCGAAGACTTTCTACGCCACCAGTCTCACAACCAACTTGCAGTTTTCATATTTTATCTTGCCATCCAACGACCAAGAACTCTAATTGCTCATCCGCCATCACCCTTTTATGCTTCTTTCTCGTCCTAAAACTTACCTAACCCACTTGCAGTTTTCATATTTTATCTTGCCATCCAACGGCCAAGAACTCTGATTGCTCATCCGCCATCACCCTTTTACGCTTCTTTCTCGTCCTAAAACTTACCTAACCCTTCTCTTGATCACGCCACACAATATACTAACCCGAGATCGTTGTCAGAAAAAAATATAATTCAAGATGTTTGGTTGAAATTCTCTAGTTCCAAGCCTATTGTGAATTGTCTAGCCTGGCTGGTTTTTATGCTTCAAGTCTGTCGTTGCTTTCGGTGATTTAGTTCTTCTATTTTGTATACAGGCACTGGGAACTATTTTTTAAGCCTGGGGAGGTTCGACTGGTGGATCCTGAAAGCATCCCCACTTACAAAATGCCAGCTTCAGCTGTCTACAAGTGTATGAATCCCCCAACTTGTACATGATTTTGGACTGCAGGCAATCTATGGAAGCCCTTTTTTCTTCTTCTTTTTTTCACGCATGGAGTTGTACATCTCATTACAGTCAAATGAGGCATGATTTACATTTTCAAAAAAAAAAAAAAAAAAAGCTTCATGATTTAAATCAGATTGACACATCCTACGGACTTCTTTTTTAAACTCAATTAGCTCATTATTCAAACTCCGAGGACCCATTCCCTCACCCACCAAGGAGAAATATTTGCGTACGTCTAACGTACGTAGAGCTGCGGACGTTGATAGGTTACATGAATGGTATTGGCACGTACGTAGAGCTGCGTACGTCGGTAGGTTACAGGAATAGTATTGGCGTTATATCCGCGTTATACCCCCTGTAACCTCCCTGTAACTAGTAAGTTTCGCGCTTCTATTTTTATATATTTGTAAGTTACAGGTAAGTTACAGAGAGGTTACAAGGGTATAACTCTGATAAAGCCCTCCGATACCCTCCCTTTAACCTACCGACGTACGCAACTCTAACGTACGGCATTGGGCACGGTTCAAATGATAAATTTGAGTGAAACTCAGTCTAGGCTTTATTTATTATTATTATTATTTTTTTAAGGTACATAAGTAGCACACATTTCTTATGTATTTACATATCTCACTCCTAAACTTGTGTACATAGCACTTTGGTGCTTTAGATCTATGCATGAAATGGTGTATTTAACTTTTAAAAAATGACAATATTTTTTTTTTTCTTTTTTGATAGTAAAGATTGAGTGTTGTGTGTAAATATGAAATTTTAGCTGTGAGATTAAGAAAAAAAACATAAGAATTGTGTCAATATCCGCGTTATATCCCCTGTAACCTCCCTGTAACTAGTAAGTTTCACGCTTCTTTTTTCATATATTTGTAAGTTACATGTAGGTTACAGAGATGTTACAAGAGGTATAACTCTGATATAACTTTCCAATACCCTCCCTTTAACCTACCGACGTACGCAGCCCTGCGTACGCTAGACGTACCTATTTCTCCCCACCAAGAGTGAAACTCAGTCTAGGCTTTATTTATTATTATTTTTATTTTATTAAATACATAAGTAGCACACATTTCTTATGTATTTATATCTCTCACCCCTAAACTTGTATACATAGCACTTTGGTGCTTTAGACCTATGCATGAAATGGTGTATTTAACTTTCAAAAAATGGCAATAATTTTTTTTTTCTTTTTTGATATTAATGATTGAGTGTTAGCTGTGAGATAAGAAAAAAAACATGAGAATTGTGTCGTGAATGTAAATGCCCCTCATTTGTTTCAGGGTACTGCTTTCTTAAAAGTGTGATGGGCAAGAATTTCTGTGCCAAAACTGTACCCCCTAAACCTGCTTGTCTTCTCAAAATCTATACAAAAAGTTACTCACACATAAGGAAGATTTACATGCATATCGCTTAACTCTTATGTATTTACATATTTTAACAACTAAATTTCATGTTTTTACATATACGTCCTCATGCATGAAAAGGTGTATTTCATAATCGGCAAACGTTTCTATTGTTTTATCTACCTGTGTTTAGAATGGATTGTTTTATGCGATGTCTATTTTAAATTTGTACATGGTGACTTCATTTATAAAGCATGGAACTAATATCAGTATGTCTAGCAAATTACTATGGAAAACAAAATATATTTAACGTTTTTTTAAAAATGGTTAATCTTTGGAAGAAATGCCATAACGGCTACGAAAAAGGGGGATTTTACATACATACAACTCGATTTTAATGTTACATATTTATCACCTAAACTTTAACTTTTACATTTGCACCACGCAAATTTTTCGTATAACATCTAAAAAAATTATTATTCTAACTTATAAAAGGTTAAATATGACTTTTAGTGGATATGTGAGGTGGCATATATGTAAAAACTAAAGGTTTTTGGAAACAAAAAATCGGAAACAGATAAAAAAATAGTGTTTGATTATTTATTTTTTTTTGTTTTATTTATGTTTTTTTTTTTATTTTTTGAAGGAATGCTTTTGGTTTTAAAATAATCAAAATTGAAAAAAAATATATGTTTTTGTCTGTTTTTAAAACACTTAAAACATCGAGTTTCGCCGCCCGATGGCTCTTCGATGCCGCCTGTCAATTGTATATGTCGTTGGCCGATTGCCGACCACCTTTAGCTGCAGCGGTCGCCTGGAGCTCGCCGCTGGCGATATAATATGACATCCACAATAATTAAGGATTGTTCTACCGAGGAGAAGCTTCAGTGCTTCTTTAATTCGATTAGCCCAACATACCTTTTTATGTATAGGTGGCTGTCTAGTGCGCCTAGGGTGTCAGAATGCTCTTCAACCCAGACGGGGTGTAATTCCTTTTGTTTGGAGCTTTTCTAGATTTATACCTAAACCTCATTCTTTTTTTTTCTTTTTTGAGGCATCCTCGCCACTTCGACAGACATAAGTCTAACTTGGAGTTCCAACTTAGAGTCATAGATATAGTTTCTTTCCTCTGATTTTAAGGCTACCGAAGTCCCCTGTGGATGATGTAATTCACGGATTGCTGACCAGGAAGCCCTGGACTTGTTGGGTCGACTACCTTCATGGCCAGGGATGATGAGTCCATGGTACCCTGACCCAACTACCTCTACCTTTTTATAAGGACTCTACCCTTTATGTTATTGAGCCCTTTCAAGCCTTGTCACTCCTTTGACTTCGTTAATATCATCTTGATGGATCAATACTTATGAGCTGCCGCCGTTTTGGATATGACAGTTTGTTCTCTGCCCATATAGCCCGGACGTGCTTTGAAGTGTTGGGATATCTCCGTCAAAATGATCTAAGTTATTCTATAGGCTCCTTATGCTGATGAGCCACTACCTATTTGGGATGTGAGAGACTCACTATCTGCTCAATGGATTAGCAAGAGCTTTGAAGCATACATGCATTCCCACACAAAATAACCTTCATTTGTTGACCAATTTTTCTAGGTCTATAATAATACAAGTGAAACCCCTTTAATCAAGTGTTTTCTTGGGTATCCCACAAAATTTAATTAACCAATTGGATACATCCAATTAGAAGCACTCTTGACCCCATAACAAGCACCTACACCTGACTCTTTAATTGTGGGTAGCCTACGTAGGTATTCTTTTGCAGATATTGATTGAAGTTGCCTTTGCCCGATCTTGTTTGGGCGGACATACTTGACATATCCTTGCGAGGTTTATTGCATGTAGGCTCTCCATGTTTTGTTTTTTTCTCTTTTATGTCATATTTGTCGTATGTCCATCTTTTTCAGTTCATCTCTTTTCTGATTTATTCATATGAGCTAAAAGAGAGATTTATTCGGAGAATGTAAGTATACAATGATCGACAAGTTAGAAACTCCTTCAAAAATAAAAGAGAGAAAAATGAATGAAAACATCAACAAGAGCCCATCTCCGTTTGCCCAACGTAATGTGGAGGGTTTCTCGCAAGGAGAACTCTCTGTGACCAAGAGAACAAGGACCTAAGGAATGTCTTCATCCTCTCATTAGGCTGACTTCAATTGTCCATCCAAATTAAGCCACCAAGACAAACAGTGAGATTAGTACATCTTTTTGGGATTTTTGGATCTAATGCTAGGGTTGGGAAAATCTCTTAAAATTTTGTAGGATTTAACAAAACACCCTTGACCTAAGGGCCTTTTCCTATAGCACAAAAACTAGTTCCTTTGATCTCTAACATCCAACCTAAGGGGCTCTAGGAACAAAAAAATGTGAGTGTTTTTCAAATTTTCACCTCTGTGGAAGTTGCGGACGCGTTCTTTGCTTGCTCTATGCTCCTACCTTATTTGGATGAAGCTCTCCTCTTTCAAATAAAATTTGAAGTCCTTTTTTTCCTCAAAACAGGACGAGGCTCTCTTTTTTTCACAAAGAGAAGAAGCTTTTACTTGAATAAGCTCCTTCAAAACTTCCCTCACACTCTCCTTTAAAGATTGGTGGAAAAAGAAAAGAAGAAAATCTAGACAAAATTTTAAAGAAGAAGAGGAAGAATAAGAAGGGATGAAGATGAAGACCTTCCCTCTAAAACTCTTCACTACAAGAACTCTTCTCTTCACTCTTTTCCTAGCCCCTCGCAAATGAGACCACTCCTCCAATTCAAATGGATTGTTGGATGTAAGAGGAATGGAGGGAAACGCCTTTTAAAGAGTTCAAGCACTTTGACCCAAGCCTTACCCAAAATGAGCCCTCCACAAAACATTTGGTCGGCTCATAATTTTAGCAAGTAGCTAAGTGCTTTTCATAACACCTGTTCCCCCTTTCTCAAGCTCAATTTTAGCTCTCGAAGAGCCCAAATGGTCAAAATAATCCCAAAAATCAAAACCTCACAGCTTCGTGGCGCCTAGGCACTGGGTTCTCGTGACTATGCATTGGGTCCTGGAAACTATGCACTGGACACCTGGTGCCAACTCTTTTCTCACTCTGGTTTCTAGATCATTTTTGGGTTGTTTCGGGTGCCAAGGCACTGAAAACTGAAGTTGGGGCCTAGCGCTAGGGCGCTAGAGCCTGACGCTGGTTTTCCAGCCTTTCAATTTTGTATCCATAGGCAGCTTCAGATGCCTAGGCCCTTGAACCTAGGGTCTAGCGTTGGAGCGCCCATATCCAGCTTAGGGGCGCCAGGTTGACCCAATGAGCCCCGATTTGCATAGAAAAGTGTTAGGGAAGGTTTTTTTTTCGATCTATAAGCTATGTGAGACTATGTATCATTGAAATATGGTCCCATAAATTCAAAAATGAATATTTTTTTTGGATATTTTATCAAAGAACTTAATGTCAATATACACCCTAAATTGTTGTACGGGTGTGATGCCCTAAACCCTGATTTTCCCAAACACGCAAATGGGAGAATTTTATGAGTTGCTAGGCCCCCAGAAGCTATGTAGGAATACATTTAAGCTTACTCAAATCTTATTGGACACCCGGGGTACACTGTTTCAGATGAAAATTGCCACATGGGGCTGAGTACGACCTGAACGGTTCGAAACTCAATTTTGCGCCTGGATGTCTGTAGGAGGTTTTCACTGACCTGAATGCTACAGGAAGCCACATGTCACTAAAGTACAATCCCATATCTTAAAAATGATCATCTTAAAGGTTTTAATTTATGGATTTAAGTGCCAACAGGCGTTTTGAACCCTATTATATTCAAAAGGTATGTTACGGCTTGTACCCTATTATATTCAAAAGGTATGTAGGAGATTTTTATGGTTTCCCTTGGCCACATAAGGCTCC